ACAACAGGAGGAACAGAAGACTATATAATATGTACAAACAGAGGTCTGACTATACTAAGATGAGATAAGACAGTTTTTATTAGTCCAATAGTTGGGAAATTCACAGGGCATGTAGGCAGGGAACACACATAAAGTAATATTTAACACAATTAATACTTCTGTTAGTAATTAACACGCATTATACAAAACAGGGATTTGAAGCCACCAAAGAGCATCACAGCTTCTTCCCAAACCAAAAAAACCCCAAAACAAACAAACAAGCAAACAAATTTAAACAAAATAACACACAAAAACTGGATTTTTACAGAATACAAATGTGTGTGATATTAGAATTGAGGAACTGCATAGTATTCAGTATGACAAAGAAATTCTTCAGAAGGGATATCAAGCCTCAATGCTGCTAAGTCCTACAGATTCCAGTTTGCCAGAACAGCTATAGTACTAATGAGCATACATTATTCAGTCCATGAATAGTTAATTTATGGCTAAAACACTGACATCACTGTAGACTGTTTCTCCCTCTGTCACGTTTTCATTCCTTCGCTCTACTTTGCCATTTTTCCTCCTGTTGAAAGTTGGTACAGTATAAACCATGAGGTCCTCTTCTGTCTGAGGAAACAGATGACGTTTATGATGAGATGGGAATGTTAATTATAAACACGCAGCTAAAACATTAAAACATTTTAATTTATTTCAGCTTTACCTGCTGACCTTGCTGATCACCATCACTGCCTGTTTGGAAGACAGAGACGTTTAAGATCAAAGATGCTGTAGGCTGATTACAAAACAAACAAATAAATAAATAAATAATGTCTATTACCGTTCCAACAATCACAAGATTTTTTCTTAATGGTATAGATGAGGAAACATATAACCATCAGACTTGTAACCAAAGCAGCACATAACAGAAAGAGAGCTGTGTTGGCCGTCTGCAAATCCCACATGTCAGGTGCTGTAAAAAAATAATCACCCAATAATTGTGATTATTTTGTTAAAATTATCAATTAAAACAAATGTACTTTATTGATTACATGGGTATGTTGTACAAAAGTGTAAACTTTACCTTTAATGTCCAGTTTTGATTCATTTCCAAAAAGGATCTGCCCACATGTGGCCACAGCACAGTAGTAAGGCCCAGGATCAGAGGAGCTGACGTTCCTTGAGAAGCTGTAGACACATTTACGCTGTGAGGGAGCTTCAGGACTCCCACATTCATCACCACTGTTTCCATGAACATAAATGGAATGGGGTTTGTCTGATCCAGCTCTGAACCAGTACACACTGGGATTTTCTGGACAACTTTTCTTCTCATACTTAGAGAGGACTGAACACTGCAGAGTCTCTTGGGCTCCTGAATGAATACGATCAGAAAATCGCATTTGTATGACATCAGGTTCTGGACCTTTTGAAAAAGATTAACATAAATAAATAAATGAACTTTATTAAGATGCCATTGAATTGAACATTTTAAAATTAGACTCATAAGCACATAAACTTTTTTTT